ATATATATATATTTTATTTATTCATTTATTTTATCCCCAAGAGCCCTAAAAGTTGCTATTTTTCTGTCATTTCACGATATACATTTGGGGCTATCACAGTAGTGGTGTCTTTGATAGACGTGTAAATGAAACACAAAAAGAAACACACACATAATGGAACTGGCTGATGTGGTCTACTGAATAAATGAAGTCTATACTTTCAGACTAAGTTATGAATGGATACCAAACTACGGTGAGACATTTGATGACAATCACTGGAAAGACTTACAAAAGTTCACAGCTGTATCTGAGCTACTCTATGAATCATAAAAATAATGCATCCATTTAAATTGACACTTTGCATCACTCATAAAGGCACTTACCCCTTTAGAATCAAATGACCCAGGCTTGGCGTTGAATTTCACAGTCTTTAGACGTGCCCGCTCTTTCCTCTCCACCCTGCCAAGCAAAGAGATATGTTAGCCATTAACCAAAGAGAGGAAATTAAATTACTCACGCTGACAACACGCTCAGGTACAGAAAGTTTTGGCTACCAAAGGTGAGGACAAGTCTGACACTCTAAGTGTCTTAAAATTTCTATTCTCCTCAGGCATCGCTGCAAACTATGTATGCACAGACCAGCCACCTAGAATTTCAGGCTGGTCCCCAACAGGTTCTTGCTTATCTGAATGGAATGAATAGAGGAATATCAATATGTTGTTAATGAGTGTCTCAATATGTGCTGTGCACTAAATATGTGCCTTGCACCTTTAAAAGGACCAGTGTGAGATATCAGGTTTCCCAATTCCAGCCTATACTTCTGTTTTATGTTAAGGGGACACCGGGAGTATACATCATTGATAACATTTCCACGCAATCTAGCAGTACATTACAGCCTTTTTGACATTCAGACTGCAATAAAAGTTTTTTTTTTTTTTTTTTTATCCAGTTCAGGAATTCAGGAAAGCAGAAACAGATTTCTCTCCGCTGCGTACCGTCTCTTGCTGGGGATGACACCCATCTCCTCACTGTCCCCATGCGGGGTCACGCGGCGGGCCTGCCACCACTCGTCATCGGAGGCGTTCACGACGTGGAGGATGTCCCCGTACCTGAAGCTGAGGCCTTGGCTGGGGAGGCCGCTGTCCTTTGCCTTCTCATAGTCAAACAGTGCTCTGTTTAGTGGAAGATATCAGGATTAGTGCTGCAAACGCACTGAATTTCCTAATATTTCACTCTAATTCCTCCATGTGAGGTCCTTTCTAACTGGGCAAAGAGAAACTAGAAGCACAGCTTTACCAGGTCAGAGAGAAAAGTGACTGTTGGTCCATGAGGGTTGCTATAATAAGACATGTTCTTCTGTTTCAGTTACAGATCTCAAACCTGGTTTTACAGTAACATGTATGTGTGTGTTCAGTCCACATAAAGAAAAAAATTTCTCAGTCATCTGTATGAAAAGTTACATTAAACCTTTGTCTTTAAAAAGACAGTACTCGTATCATTTTACCATGGTGCCTGGAATAAATCGGTGCAGACATCATATGGAAGACATTCGGGGGATGGACTTTTCATTTACTGAATTTTTCTGAGCATCCAAAACTAGGGTAAAATCCAAACAAGACCAACCTCACATAGAGCGATCTCTTTTGATTGGTTCGCAGCGATCCCGATCCAGAGCTCATGCTGTGGTTCATCATCTGTTCCCGCAGGTCATGGATTTTGGCCTCAAAACGCCCGTACTCTGCAAGACAAGATTAGAACGAATCAAGCCTGACAGCCAGGTCTGCATTCAGACTCCAGTGCATCCTGGGAAAGAGTAGGTCAATCTAATGATGCTACTAAAACTGAAAGAGACCCCTGTTAAATTTTCATTTCATTTCATTTTCATTTTCATTTGATTTCTGTTACTACCCTCAAAATGTGATACTGCCTATCATTTTCATTGTGGGCTCTACACAGTGCTGCACTGGATGCACATTTCCATTATTTAAATGTACTACACAGAATTTTTAACTCTGTGGAAATGAAACAGTCTAAGTTTAATACTGATGACTCTATATGACATACAGAAACAAACAAGACCATCAAAGAAAAAAATGGCTATTTCTAGTTTTTCTTAATGCCTGCCACCAGGTTGGATTCAGTTGGATTCCCCTTGAAATCAATAAAAAAAGAAAAGGTGCAGAAAGCACTTCTAGAGAAAGAATGTTGATTATTGAGTCTCATTTCCAGGTTGTTAAAAACTGAAACTTGACTATGAGATAAACTGCATCTTAATGAACTTAATACATTAAGGAAATTGCTGTTTGTATGAGGGAATATATATTAGATAGATATTTTTCAAATTTTGGAGTCAATCCTTCGTGCTGCTGTATTCACAAAAGTCTATCATAAAACTGAGAACACAATTTATTGCTTTGGTTTACACTGATGCCCACCAGTGTTTCCAGTCAGTGACTTAAGCCATGAACTGAACTGCTCTTGGCAAAGTAAAAGAGGATGTCAGGATGTGAGAACCCGTCACTCTGCTGACAAGTGTGCTTTTCCTGACAGTGCAGTTACTATGAGGACAAAACAACTGATAACTTGAGGCAGGGCTGGCTAATCTGTCACTTAAAGAAGATCAAACCGTACAGAGATGTGACATGTTCTGTTGTGACACAAAACCAAAACCAACTGCTGACTGCACAACCTGTGTTCTACACATCAAGGCAAGAAAAGACAAAGAGATATACTGTAAATAAAGCTAAAAATACTAAATATGTTTTTTTTTTCAGAGAAACCTGATTTACAGCTATGACTGCAGCACTTGCATCAAATGCTTCCTTTTTCTAAAGACTGAGCCAATGTGAGCAAAGGAACCCTCTCATACTGGAGAATCATCTACAACAGAAACAATAACAGAAATGTCTACATTATTCAATTTAAACTTATCTTAGTCTCATTTTGTTTTCTGCCCAACTTACTCTAAAATAGGTCTCACATACCTTTCTGCATGTTCACTTTGATGTTATATCTTCTACTGCTGTCCTCTCTTTCTTATATTGTGTTCCCCCTGTGCTCCTTCTCTTTTCACTACACACAGTCCAATGCTGTGCTGAGTGCAGCACTGAGTAGAGAAAGACACCTCTCTCTCTTCTGTGGCTGCTCAGAAGCCGTGCAGGGGCGGAGACAAATGCCAACGGACGCAGCAAACAGGATAAGTGTTTTTAAAGCAGTGCTTGTTTGCTTTATCAGTCTATGAATTACTGGACAACTCCTCTTCCTTCACTGTTCTTATATGTGATCATGCATAACAGAGACACTTTACGGAGGAAGGGCCTAGGTTTGCAATTATATGAGGAATTTATTGTCAGGTAATATACTGCTATTGAATTTACACACTCCGAAGAGTGTACAATATGTGTATGTGTGTAGACAAGGGATTCCCAAACGAGACCCAAAAGAGAAATTTGGTGTCTCCCCAAGATCCTAACTAACAGGGCTTATACACTCCAGTTATTTCAATAAGGGGAAGGTGGCAGACGGGAAGGGGTTTTGATCACAGTGGTATGAAGTGGTTGCCGCCTATCTGCATGTGCCCTGAACTTCTAGCAGTAACCGCCTGGCAGCAGCAGCTGCTTTTAAGAATACTTTGATTTGGGAGATCGCTCGTACAGCTACTGTAGGGTGTTGTCAGGGCAAGAGAGAGAGAAAGGAACCCCCATACACAGAATCTGAGCTGAACAAACCAGTGTAGCAAAAATAGTAGTTACTGGAGTTCTGTGAGTACATGCGTAGCCCTCTAATTTTATTTCCCTAATTAAAACAGAAAAAGAGTGTTCTCTCTTCTTCCATTCAAATAAGGAAAATTAATTAATATATCAGAGCAATGTTGTGCATTTTACTCAATAAAAATTGCTTTGTGACCCATTTTGGGTTCCCTATATTTGGGAAATGCTGTAGTAATATAAATGGAAAAAATGAACTAGACTAAACTGATGTAACTGTATACTGTGCATCATCTCACATGCAGTTTATGTGACTGTCCCTCTTAAGCATATGTCCTTTTTTTTTTAATGAACGTGCAAAGTTCCTGGAGCACTATGTGTGTGGTACCAGCGTCTTGGCACCCAGAAGCTTCTGCCTGCTCCATCCTGTAGAGCAGTAGTTCCCAAGCTTTTTCCTACAGGGACCCCTTTTCTGTCATTAAATAAACTGGTGACCGCTGACTAAGTGGCATATTTCATAGATATTTCATATTATATTGTTCTCAGGTACTCTGTTCTCACCACAGCTGATTTTCTGTTTTAAGAAACAGCCATTTTGACATGAAATAGTAGGATAAACAAAGGTGTTGCCAATGATACTAATCGCTCCATTTAGTGTAGCAGAGCATTTCCATTTCCATACTCCGTTTGACCTGAAGGAATGTAACCTTTATTGGTATCATTGGTAACACTGCCTTTTTTTCAGGACAACACAGATTATTTCTAAGAGAATTTGATCATTTTAATCAAATTCCAATTGTTTCCATGACCGGAAAAAACTACACCAGGTTTTCATGGATGCGTGGGAACCCTGATTTGTTAAAAAATAAATAGCAATGCTTCTTTCCAGTGTCCTGGTTAATGTGGCTAATCCAAAAACAACACTGTGGGCTGTTTTGACTTTAGAAAACAAGCTATTATACTGAGCTGCAATATATGAGTACAGTGTCTGCACATTATCCTCAGAATACAGCATACTCAAAAAGAGCATGTACACACATTTTCAAAGAGGAAGAAGAGAGGACATGGCCTGGGAACACAGGAACAAAAGGTAAAGTCAGGAGGTTTTGAAAAGTGCATGTGCAGTGGAGGAGTGAGAGTCAAACAGGCTGGGAGAGGAAAGGATCAGGTGTGCTTCAGTGGGTCAAATGCTTGGTGAAGAGGAGTGGACAGACTGTCTGTGATCGCATTCACTCAGTGACTATCACATAGCCAAACCCTGGTGAATGAGGCTAAAGCTCAGAGTAGCCACAGGTGCCAGTGGCACAAACCTGGTACAGGAGAGTGGGCCCGCCGGGGTGAGCATAAAGCAAGTTCTGATGGGTAAGAAGAAAAAGCAGTTGTTAGTCCCAAAGGGGCCCAGTTAGTCAGCATTGAGATGTCAGCTCAGACGAGAACAAGGCAACAAGTTGGATGATGGGATTTGTCGTCCCTAAATTAAGAGGCTTGGGCTTCAGATTGAACTTGATGCCAAGTCAAAGACCTTCTCTACTGATCCTGCAGGTTTCAACAGGTTAAATTTAAGACTTTTTAAGACCATTATGAATACAATTTAAGACCTATTTTACATCCATATTGGCAAAACATCAGATTGTTTTGTGTATTCACACTTAAATTATGTGACACAAGGCTACCAGGGGTTATCTAGTGAAACAAAAACCTAGAACAGATGCAGTGTGTAGATCTGTAATGAACAGAGCCGTCACAATGTGGAACAAGTTACAAACAATGATCACTGAAGAACTCACTAAGACTTGAATAATCCCACTGTCAATTAACTGATCTAATTATGAATGAAATCTAATTATTCGTCTTATTTGTATGTATGTTTTGTTGTGTGTGGACGTCAGGAATAGCTGCTACCCTGGTGGCAGCTAAAGGGGATACAATATTCAAGACAAATAAAAACAAAAATACAAAACATGAAAGAAAATTGGTATTGGTTACATGTTGGTTTCATTTTGTAGAATGATCAATACACATTTTTCACAAAAACACAAAAGTAAGAAAAAATACAACTTAAACATTAAAAAAAAACATTAACTTCATTAATCCAAACAATTTGAAAGACCTGTCAAAATCATATATAAGACATTTTAAGGCAGAAAATTAAGATTATTGGATTTTGGACTTCTTAGGACCTGGTGGACAACCTATGATCTTTGCCACATACTGAAGAGTTTCCTGTGAGACGGAGCAGATCTGAGTTTATAGAGAAGAAGCTTTACAAGATCTTAAAAAATATGACATTTTTGAGAAGCAAAAGCAATCGAACACCAAGAGCACTCTCTTGAGGCCATTGTTGCCAGCATGTTTTGGCTGATCTAACTGATGTACTAAGCATACATCAAGAAATGTATAAAGAAACCTTGGCTCAACAGGTAAAGCTTTTGACTTCTTGAACGCTAGGCTTTAGACCTGCCAGATTTAGATAGAGATACTTCTGAGCTAAACCACAGCTCTCGTTACAGGGTTCTAGACAGTTTGTGAGTTTGGCACCTCTGAGAAATCGAGAGGTCTCTGACGGTGAGTCACAGTCACTGCAGCACTCGAGTAGATACTGCCGCTGCTGACCTTAATCAGAGGAGGCATGTCACCATTCAAAGCTGTCTGATCCACATCACTACATGTTAACTTACACAAGGTTGGCAGACAGTCTTTTGTAGATCTGAATTAGCATGCCCCGCATGGGTTGTTGTAATTTACATGCTAATGCTACAGGACAAAGAAACCACAAACCAGTTTAAGACAAACTGAATGTTGTTTGTCCAGATGATAACATGACTTCCTCTTTTTTTCAGGAATTTTGTGGGAGTAGGAAAACTTAAATGGACTTCTTGTCTTAGCAAAGACTGCATTTAGCATATGGCGCACTAGGGCACTATGTAAAGATGGTAAAAAAAAAGTGTCAAGTGTTAAGTGTCACCCTCCAGTGTGTAAACAAGCCTTTTTTATCTACAGAGGGAGCGGGTTCTCTTCTACAGAGTCGGTCATGATGAAACACCATATTTCTATAGTAGCCCAGAACGGACAATCAAACACTGGCTGTAGATAGAGCCTTTTGCAGTTTTCCCAACTTTCTTGGCCACTGTAGTCTCTACTGTACACAGCCCGTTATCATTCCCAGGTCGCCAAATACAGACATGAGCAGTGTTCAGTTAGTGTCCACTAGATGCCACTAAATCCCACTCAATGGTCCTTTAGAGGTGTCACCTCAACTCAGATCTCACCCATAAGAAACCATATAAGAATCCATTCAGCGCTAGAGTAGTGTGGTGTTATGACGGGACGAAAGAATGCCTTGGATTTAAAATGTCATCGCAAACATGAAATCAGCAGTGACCTTGCATTGTTTCCCAGTTTAAGCTACAGGCAGAATGTTTCTCATGCTGCATAAATCCCATCACTGCTAAGATGAAGCTGTCGCAACATGGAGGCAGGGCTGCCGGAGAGGTCACTAAAAACAGCCTCTTAATTACATGTTTAGCATTTAAATTAAAAGATTTGGAACAAAATATCCATACACTTCTTCTGCAAGGTTATGAGGGTCAGAATCCTAAAGGTAGTGTGTAGGTATTAAATTATTCCTGTAGGCTCTTAGTGTTTGTCTTTTGTCCAAGATACAGTGTATGGGCTGGTCCCAACAAATCATTATCATTTTTTGCTTTTAATTCTTATTTTCATTTCACCATATGTGAAAAGAAAATTATGTGGGATGGTTTTATTGTGACTGTTCAACAGAGTTTCAATACTTGTGTGTTTGGCAGTGATGTGTTGACAAAGTTAGCAGTGAAACATAAGGGGACCCCATCATTTGGCCTGATTCTAACCAAATGACTTAGTGGGTAGGGGAGACCTACCTAAGCACTGTCCTGTGTAATGTTTGTGCTACTTAGCAGGATGTTTACACAACAGGGTTCCTGTACTTGTACAGTAACTGGTTTGCGCTGACTCACCTTCTGGTCTGTACTGGGCAAAGATGGTGACCACCTGTCCCGCTCCTTTTAGCGCGGCTGCTGCTTGTTCATGTGTAGCTCCTCGCAGGTCAATGCCATTAACCTGTTTTAACCACAAGCACAATTCACAGGATTGTTTTAGTGTTTTATTGGTACAATAACCTGCCACACAAATGAGCTATACTTTATTCAGCAACAGTGAAAAATACATGGTATGACCATTGACAGTATATATAATGAACAGAGCTTCCGGGTCTGAAAGGTGAAGCCAACGCAGAAAAGTCTTAAAACCTACATTCTATGTAAATTCCAGCAGCAAGCTCCATTGGCTCTGATAACACACCGATCGCATACACTTTAATGGAAAATGAGCTAACTTGTCACTTCATTTATGAGCTCAGTAAACAGTTTCCTGATGAATTTAGGGTCTCAGTTGCTTCTCCAATACATTATGATGTTCATTTAGTAAATTATGGTCCAATTTAGAGCAAAATAGCAATAAAGTCTTGTATGCTTTTGGCGGGGCTACCTTTTGATTGACAGGTCATTCTCCGTGACTCAGATCAAACTACCAAACTAGGCAGTGCTGATCAAATACGAAGCAAGATTCTGTTACTGCGTTGACTATTTCACACTTAAAAGCCACCATTGCACATACACTAAGAATTTTTAATGAAGTAGAAGGAGTAGATGACTTTTTAAGGATTGGGACATCTTTTGAGAATGATATATTGTGGTAGACACTAGAAAAAAATGCAATGCAATGCAATACTGTAGATTTCTCTTTCACTGTTTGGCTAATTGTTTTGCTGACAACATTTAGCTAAATCTGGTACCATAAATGTCGGGAAGGGTTCCCACTCTTTTTAAGAAATATTTATATTTTCTGGACCATTCCAGGACATTTTCCAGGACATTTTTCAGGACTTCTTCCTGGAATTCGTCTTGACAATTCAGGACAGCACTTCCTTACTGGTAGGCCTTGACATAAAGTCTAGTTTTATGCCTCCTTTTTTGGTCATTTTAATCAATTTCCAGGAGTTTCAATGACTGGAAAACTAGTCTCTACATTTCCAGGTTTTCCAGGATGTGTGGGAACCCTGAATATATAAGAAATGTTTAAACTCCCTCAAGACTTTGTGGGTACAAACATTTTTGAAGAGGTGCAATGCATCTAAACATACTGTTGAGTGAATGCTTCTAAATACATCTGTAACACACAAATTAAAGGTTTCATTGGTGAATGTATTTTTTGCATCTTTCTCACATTATCACAAGAGCTGGTGCTGAAACCAGATCAAATGTCGCACACTAACATAGTGTGAAGAAGGCTGGGCTCGATTCATTAAAAAAAGGAAATCCAAGGATGCCTCTGTTTCTGTGTCGCTTTACACAAGAGGATGGACACAGGCTTACACTTTTATCTCGACACACCTCTCCCTTCACAGCTGCTGTTGCTTGGTTCAGTGCTCGGGCAAATATACGGTGGCAACAGACCACAGGGCCTCAGGTAATAGTGCACAAAGAACCACACTGGATATGTATAGTGTGTGAAGAGATAGTAGAATATGTGGTCAATAGGTGGTGTAGAGAGACAGAGGAAGTTGTGTTAGATTTCAAAACCAGGCCACTGCTGGAATATTAACTGCCTGCTTTCATCAGCGTAGACCGAGGTGCTGATTGGATGCAAATTAACAGGCAGACGTGCCATGTTGATTTACCAATGTGGAGGCTATACAATACCATAACACTGCAATGAAATGAGACAGTGTAATCTGTAGCACAGTGTGCCATAAGTGTGGGTAGCAAAATGCTACAATTAACTATAATGAGGCAGAGCAATCACTTCCTCCCAGCTGCTAGAGAGCTGTGCAGTCTGTTCATCATCTCAGTGAGTCCTCATACATGCAGTTATTTCTTTTATTTGTGAATACTGTGACCAAACAATGCAGTATGTGTTTTTCAAACCAAAGACTGTAAAGGCGGTAGACGCTGACTAAGTCATGTCCACAGTGTGAAAACACAAAACTGACATTGCCCACAAAGGCAGCAATGACCATGGGAAGCAAAAAGAAAAAACATTTTTGCTTGTTGGACTATTGTATCAAAATGATAAGCTAGTGCCCAACCTCATACAGCTCTTGTGTCCAACCACAGTGGTTTGGACCAATTAGCGTCCTTTGAGGAATTACTGGCATGAGTTAACGCCGTGGTTTAGGGTTAGCGTCAGTGATTTAACGTCAGGTGTGTGAGATGATGTGTGTGAGAAGTGATTGTTTGCTCAAAACCAACAATGGCGGCTGCTAAAGAGGTTAGCTTAGATCCTGCTAGCATCAGTTCTTTCAGAAGTATTTCTTTATTGAAAGGAGAGCAAAGAACGGCACTGAAGGCTTTTCTTGATGGAAAAGATGTTTTCTCTCTTCTCCTGACTGACTTCAGTTAGAGTTTGACTACGTTAAATGTCATTGTTTGGGACAATGTAAATCTTATGAATGACAACAACCTACTGCATGTTTGGACTACAGGTTGAAAAAGGCATAAACCCAAGCAAAAATAACTATAGTGATACTTACAGCTAAATGTGAAACTCAAGAATATAATGCAACTTCTGGAGCTGAGAATACTCTTTAACAGGTCCAGCCTTAAAAAAAAAACTTACTAGTAACTACCACAGATACAATACACCTCTCTGTAATAATATTAGAGAAATACTGCAGGAATGGAAAAAAAGGCCCAGGTTGTAAGCGTTTGGCCCTGAAAGTGAATCTAGGCCAGTAGGACTATTACACTCTCTATTAATATGCTGGGAACACACAGGTTAACAAGAGTAGACCATTTTAAAACCCAGCCACCCAGCCTTTGTTCAGCTAGTTTGGAGCTTTTTGTGACCTTTTACCAGGTAACAGGTAAGCAAATTAATAATTTTCAATTAACAGGTCATTTCTATAACACATGATTCATAATCCTGCTCACTTTTGAATGTTTTCCACAAAAAAAATCTGGCTGAAGTGTCTCTTGTGCACTTACCGATAGGATTTGGTCGCCTCGCCTCAGCTCTCCACTCAGGTCAGCGGGCCCTCCTGCCAGGATGAAGGAGACGAAGATGCCCTCGCCGTCCTCACCGCCCACGATGTTGAAGCCCAGGCCTGTGGAGCCTTTGTGAAGCACCACCTTCCTGGGTTCCCTGTACAGACAGTTGAGATAGTACATCAGCTCAGGGGAGTCGCTGGGTTTCAGCATCTTCAGCTTGGATGGCGGAAGACAGAAAGGTGGACAACAATCGCCACAGCACGTCGACAGAATCCTCAGCTATGCTTTGCTTGGGCAATGGAGCTCAAAGACTGCTGGAGCTCCACAGGGGGATGGTGCTCTACTTAGGATCTCTTGTCCCCAATTCGTTTCTGACGGAAAAGAAACCTCGTCACATGCAGCACTCACACACTGGCTTGTTTTCTCTCTGTCTCTCTCTCACACGTGCACACACACTAGGATACATTCATGGGTCCATCCATATGATAGGGAGGGCTAAAACCACTCTATCATGACAGCAGTCATTCTTCTAGATTGTCAAACAGGAATAATATCTAGCAAACAAACAATGAAATCAAACTATTTCACGTTTGCCCACTATTTTTATTAACTTGATTTATCTGCATATACTAAAAGAACTTTCTCTCTGGCACACTTTTAAACCACATCAACTCAAAAAATGTTGAAACTGATTATATTGAAAATTGGTAAAACCAACTCAATTTTGTGAGTTAAAAAACATTCTTGATCAAGTAGCTTTAGTAATTTTAAGTGACACTGACTTAATTTTGTAATTTTTATTTGTACCGTGAAAACAAAATAACAAGTAAAAAGTACTTAATCAAGAATGTTTTTTAACTCACAAAACTGACTTTGAGTTGTATTTTCGATGTAATCAGTTTCAACAATTTTGAACAAAAATAACCTTGCATTGCATTATAGTGCAGGTAATATTATGTCCGACCCCTCTCATATTTGAAGAATATCAGCTTTTTGCCATCAAACCGAAGGAGTCCCACAGCTCTACTGAACATACTGTGAAACTCTTTTGTTCCTCAGTCTGTCAAACTGTTAAAGTCAGAGTCTGGGTTCTAAGTAAGTTGGCCTCAATGTGCCTGTGTGGACTAGACACTGAATTTTAAAGGGAGTGGTTAAATTGATCCACTGCAGCCTCTTATTCATAATGTCTGATGTAGAAAAAAAAGGGTGACCAGACGTCTTGAAAAATTGGGGACCGTCTCGAATTACAAGCAGTTAAATCCGGAATCCTGTCCTGTTTGTCCTGAATGTACATATCGTTATAGTGATATATAGTATGAAAGAGAGCTGTCTGTACACTGTGAGACTCGACTTAACTTGAGGCTTGAAGGCAGAAACATTGAGGAGACCTGACTTGGTGACTCAGTAATATTGAAAATGCTGCACTGTGTATTTTGGAGCGCTGCCTTAATATTATGAATGATTCATAACATAACAAGAGATACAATAAGCTGAGAACCCTTTAATCACTTCTGTAGGCTATGATTCCTGCTTTTATTTATTAAAAAAGTACTTGTTGTTTTGTAAAATATATGAGTATTATTGATGTGTTTTTTACTTGTCTGTTGCTCTGACTGATCATAAATAATGGATTGCTGAGGTCATTCAACCTGTTTTAAACCAGATGAGAGAGAGTGCAGCTGCCACTGCGGTAGGAATTTGTAACAAAAATATCTAAACAATGGGTTTGTAGTCTCCTCCAGCTGAATGACAATCTTAGCTGCTGGGAAGACATTTACAATCACTGTAACATACCTGTGTGTAATTGTTCACGTGTCCTGTAAATACAGCTAGGACACTGCTTTATTAATCCTCACTCAGAATAGGTGACCACACCCACCCCCAACTTCCCTGTACTGACCCATTCTCATCTGATCACCTGAGTAATACATATTGTACTATTTGTGTTATTTATGTGAAACAGTATATGTCTTTAGATAGGAGACATATTTCTGAAGCAATTCTGACAATAAAGTGAAATCAAATCAAATCCAGTGACATCTTAAAAAACCTAAAAGCAGCAGCACATTACCCTTCCAGGAGACAACAAAATACAGGACTGTCACCATCAATGTAAGCAGAATATTGCCATCTGCTTGTGAATGAATTAACTACAGGAGCATGAAAAAGCACTTTTTCCTTGAGGCTTTTTAGAGCGAGGCTTTTTAGAGCAAAGCTGTTGAGTGTTTGCTTAATTTTCTCTTGTTCTTCACAGTACCAGCTATGTATCCTCTGTGGTCCACCACTTGTTCCAGGACCCTCTTTCACTGTAAACAAAGCCAGCGTCCTATTCACCGTCATTAGAAGACACATCCTGGTTTAACAATAACTTGGTGTCTTGACTGAACAAGCCAGTGTACAAACACATGATGTTTTATGCTAAATTGTAGTTTGTCTAACCTTGAAAACAGGCAGAATAAAATCCCCCCCAACCAACAACAGTCTGATTTGCATACATTCAGGCATTTCTAATGGAGCACAGATAGCCTGATTCCAATCTTCCCTCTGCCATTTTCAACCATCTATGCAAACCCTGCAGGTTTTATGACAAGAACTGCAAAAACACTAAGGTTTTGATGCCCTACAGAAAGAACTGACATTTTGTCTAAGCTATAAATAGGGTTTGCAGAAAGCTGCAGTGGGGCAGATGATGGAATCATTAATGCAGAGGAGACTTCATGTGGACAGAAAGGTTTCTTCTTCATATGTATATCATACCTAGAACCATGTCTGTGGAAAAAACCCTGCCATAGTGTTTGATCATTCACTCGAACAAGAATTCAGTGGTTTCACACTTAATCAGCCCCCTACTGTAAATGCATAATTAATCAGGGAACTTTATAAACATGAATAATAGTTAACTGTTGTTTTTCAAAGTTAAGTATATTTGAAAAACAACAGTTAACTTTGGTGGTTCAACTTGAAATTTTCATAGTCACAGTAAAAAATATCTCTGTACCATATCTGCAGAGACCCCTAATGTAAGAAGATACACACATAAGGTACAGTCTCAGGTTAAAACTGCATAATTATTCTTTGGGTGGAACTGAAGGTATTTTCCTGAAATGAAGGTTGTGCCAGTGGCATCTACCCGTGTTGTTGCAGATTGCAACTCCCTCGTTTCACCCTCCCCTTCCAAGCATGAAGCAGAAACTACAGTGGGCGCAAAACTCAAAAGGCCCTATCTAGAGCCAGTGTTTGGTTTGTCTGTTCTGGGCTACTGTAGAAATCTGGCGGTTCAACATGACGGACCCGACCAGAAGAGGACCCCGTGTAGATAAAAACGGCTCTTTCTCAAGGTCACTAAAACACTTATTCTAAACATAAATTCTTACAATCAGGTGATTATAGACTAATGAAAACATACCTATGAATATTATATTCAATTTCTGACA